GGGGGAGAGCAAGCTCCCGAGGAGGGAGCCGGGGAGCTGACTCGGCGGGGCGGTCCAGCATGTTTTCCCGGGCGCACGGCGTCCCTGCCGGATCAGCAAGCAATTTACGTGCCACTGGCCCTTATATCCCCCTGCCCTCCATTTTCGCCGCACTTGTTTGTTCCTCCTCCATTCACGTAAGCCCTCCCCTTTCACCGCCTTTACTTCCTCCCCTGCCCGTCCCACAGAAGCGCTGTGCAATCCCAAACCGCTCCAGCTGTGCCACGGTTCCCTCCCCACCGCAACAACGCCCTTTAGTCCTGGATGTCATCGGGAAGGTGCTCCTGGATCCCTCCTCTGGCTGTAATCTTGATTTTGCTTTTTAGCAAAGTGGTTTACTGATTTGCTAGTTTACCAATTTACTGAAATTTACTAATTTACTGAATTATGAGTAACTTTAACTCAAGAATGAAAAATCCGAATGCCAACAACAGTTTGTGACCCCTCCCTGAAGTCTTTCGTAACACATAAGTACGGGGCTGCGAGCCAATCGTTAAAAGATTTGGGAGAGAGCTGGGAAACTTAAGCGTGAAGACTTTACCAACCATATTAGTGGCAAAAAAAGAATAAATGAGTGACTGAATAAAAATTCTATTTAGGAAACTTGGTAGGATTTCTCCAAAGGGGAATCCTGCCTTACGTTTTTCTCAAGGAGTCAAAAATACTGCAGAGTGTGACTTAAGGAGTTGCAATGAGTCACTGCCTCAGGCATCCTCTGGGGTCTGTGGGTTCCTCTCTTCGGGCCACTGGAGCCTGCGGATGTGACTGCTGCTTTCCCAAGTGCTGGTTCAGGCAGCAGTGAGGCTGTTTGTCCCAGAGAGATAAATTTGTACACGCAGAGGTGACTCCAACACAGCTGGCTACACCGACTGCAAAAAGCACTGCTGCTTGTAACCCCACTCACAACCAACCTCCGTTGTACCTACTTTTTCAAAAGTTTGACAGATAAATTTGTAATGAGTTCAGCTGTAGCCTGATTCTGTAGGATTTCATCCTGTATGCATCTGTTTTTGTCCCTTAGAAGAGAAACTTTGCCTGACAGATCCCACAGTTAAGCCATTTTACATCTCTTATTAATCTTGTTAATTGTTAATATGCTTTTAATCCAATTACTCCAATTATCCTAAACATTTCCTTGTGCAGGTAGGATGCTGTAAGAGTTTGGCTACAAATTTTAACACATTCCCAATGTCAGTCCACTTAGTCACGCTGAGGATTATATAACCCAGTCACCTGGAGAGCCCTCAGCTCAACTGGATAATGCCTGTGACATCAGTTGTTGCCATCTCTGAGTCTCCAGGGATTCCTTCTTCCTGCTCACTGCCCGGTGCACCTGGACAGGAGAAGTTCTGTCCCGTGCAGATAGTTCTGACAGGGATAAATAGTTTGCTACACCTTTTTTTAGCATAACATTTGTTGCTCCTGATGGTTTCTGCTGCCTTTTACTATTCCTTGCAAAAACTTTCTACTTTCCCAGTTTTCCTGTTAGTGAGCCAGGAAAAGCAGATTGTATGATGCAGTTAAATCCCATGGGTGTATGTGTTTCCCTCCTTCTGTGCCTCATAGCATGCCTGCAGCACACGTGTCAGATCTTGTTGATGTTGCTGCAGAAGCAATCAGCAAGAATTCCTTTCTCAAAAGACTTGGATGAAACAGAATTTTGATGATTTTCTTGCAGTTCAATCTCCATTCCAAATAATTACCAGAAGCTGTCCCCATATATCTGGGAGATAAAGCATAAATTTGAGATCTTTGGACAGTTTCTAATAAGAAAAATGATAATTTTAAAATTTACTCAATAAAAAAAAAAAAAAAAAAAAGGTATTTAAAATAAAATCGAAAAGTGTCCACTAAGTCTTAACAACAAGAAATTATAACAGAAATTTCAAAGCTGTTCTTAACCGCCATGCTTCCTGAAATTTTACGTATATAATCTCTTCTTGGGAAATAACCAAAACTTATGCAAGCTAGTCCTAAATTCAGGTTGGTCTGGTTCTGCTAGTACAGGATTAGCATTTTATGAACAGTGGTGTATTTCCAGAAGAAGTCAGTGCAGCTCAGCAGTCTATCAGTGCCCCAGCTCTTCAATGTCGTCATAGCCTGTATCCTCAAGAGCAGGGGATGA